CCCCCCCAGCTGGTCACCTTCAGTGCGCATCTGTCATCTGCTCAATGTGAAGAGATGCTGACGCTGCTGTGTGGGCAGGTAGTGCGACCAGAGCCAGGCAGGGAGAGGACAGGAGGGCGGAGGGTGCCGGGAGGGGAGAGTGGGGCCGCCCAGCGGCATAGGCCCGTCCCTGCCCGGCGCCCTGGTCCTGGAGCGTTGTCCCCAATGCCAGCCTCCTGGAGGCCCCAGAGCTGGAGTCCGTTGAGTCCAAGCTCCGGGTTCCAGACGCACTGGCAGCTCCTGCCTGTCTGCGCCCCTCATCGATGCGCCTCCCTCTCCAGCCTCGCAGCCCCTGCGGCTCCTGTGAATTTAGTGGCCACAGTACTCAGCAGGCCCCCGTTCTGCATGTTTGTGGCACCAAGAACAGCACAGCAGTCGCGGAGGCCAGACCCGCGGAGAACGCCTCTCGGGGCCCTCGGCACATGGGGACGCTGGCCACTGCGCACGTGTCCTGTGTGGTCGCGCCCAGGGGTCGCCGCCTTCCAGGCCCGGACTTCTCAGTGCTTCCAGCCCGGGGCTGGCGCACACCCTGAGCCCTGGCTGATCCTGTGGTGCGGCCGGGCGCCAAGCGGGTCGTGCCCACCCATGCTCTGGTCTTGCCAACTGCTGCCACCCAGCCCGAGGCGACGCTGTGCTCAGTGCGGTGCGGCCTTTCTGCGGCGCTCGCTTCCTGGGAAACACCAGCCGGTGCCCAGAGCGCCCTCGCTGCTCATGAATAGACAGTAGTTTGTGGGTCCCCGGGGAGCGCACGGCCAGGGTCATCAGAACATGTACCGGGAATGAATAATTTACATGAGGTTGTTATGTTCCTTGGGTGGCGATGGAAAGGTTGAATTTTTAGTAGGGGAGGAAGGAACAAAGCGTGACAAAAATTGAGGTTAAAACAGTAACATCCGTTTACATTTGCCTCGGGCGGGGGCGCTAATGAGGAACTGCTCTGACCTGGCTCCTGTTTAGTTTTTGATGTGAAGCCATCAGGGACTCGCTCCCCTTCACGTGCAGTTTCAGCCCATCCGGAGCCCCTGCGTTTCTCAGCGGTGATGACCTGTGCCTTCCGAGTGCAGCCGGGGCGCCCTGCCCACTGATTGATCTGTGCAGACAGAGGCCCACTCCTGGAAGGCCTGCCTCCTGCCCCCCGAGTGGGCGCTGCCATTGGGGGTCTGTTTCCTGAAAACCCCACCTCTTGCCTGGGTGGCACATCTTCCAGGCTGTGATTCATCTGAGCAGCGCCACTCGCAAGTCCCAAGCTCCAGCTGCCCGGTGGGGGAGGGGAGGGAGGAGAGATGGAGGTGAGCCTGTCCCTCCTCCCATATCTGCTCTGCACCCCCCTAACCCTCCCCCTCTCTGGGGCACAGCCGTGGGGTGCAGATGCCTGGGTGCCAGAAAGCAGGCCCCAGCGGCCCATACTACGGCCTCAGGAATTCACAGGCCTCACTTCCCACTTCCCTCAGTGAGAATCCCAAATGAAGACTCTTGAGTTTTTTTCGATTTTACCCTGGAAAATGCACCTATTTTTGTCAACTGATAAAATGCCCAGCAGAGAACATAATTGTTGTGCTGTTAACTTTAGACTTTACTGGGGCTCTAAGGTCCTCCAGTAGCCCCCCCCCCCC